TCATCTCCCTCTTCTACCAGATTGGAGCTATTTTATAGCAACTAAGAGATTATTCTTGGTGGAGATCACGACTTATTCTCAAGGCTTCTTTATCGCAGCCAAGAGATTATTCTTGGTGGAGATCANAATGCCCTGCACATGATTTCGTCTGGTACGTTGTGCAATTGCATCAAGGTCTTGTAAGTGTCGAGGTGGTCCAGTGGATCCTTTGTTCCATTAAAGGTCTCCACAGATGACATTTTAAACTTCTGAGGGAGGGGGTAGTTTGCTACATCAGGTTTGAAAGGCGTATCAGTACGCCTTACCAGGTGGTCAACAGTCTCGGGTCCCTGTGCCTTCATGGCGTTGAAGACATCACCGAGTTGATTCTGTACCTCATTTATCTTCTCGTCCCAATGATTGGGGGCTCCTATGGAATGATCATGGAAGTGGCTTCCATGCCCCATGCTTTGGTTTTCACCCTCATCCTCCTGGAGATAAGGGTCCTCTCCCTAGAAAACAAGGGGAGGGGGAGGTGCAGCTTCCTCATGTTGGGCTTCCCGAAGTGGGGTGCCCAATGGGGCACCCTAGCATGGAGCAACAGGGCGTGGTGCTCCTTGATGTCCAGGATGTGGAGCTCCTTGGGGTGCTCTATGTTGTGCACCTCCGTGGGGCCCTCCATGTTGTGCACCTCCGTGTGGTGCTCCACGTTGTGCACCTCCGTGTGGTGCTCCACCTTGGGGTCCTCCATGTTGTGCACCTCCGTGTGGTGCTCCTCCTTGTCCAGCAAGTATGAGTTGCAGTAACTGTTGGTTTTGAGCAACCAGTTGCTGCATGGTCTCCAATATTTGTTGGGGATTCGGGGCTAGAGTATCCGGAACAGGGTTGGCAGGCGGGGGAACAACCTCCTCCTCTCGTGGAGGATTGTCTTCGTGTTGGTTCATGGATCGAGTAGTGATCGCCATTAGTTAATGGACGTAATGTTCAGGAGTGAGAATTTTGTCGTTTCCCACAGACGGCGCCAAACTGATGATGCACAAAAATGGTTTTGCACACCACCTGTCAAGTATAGATAATAAATGCA